GTGGCGCGAAAGTGCCGAAGAGAGGGGGGTCGGCGGTTATCGATACATAGATTTTCAAATGTAATTTGCATCTGCCAAGGAGCTGCAATTAACACCAATAATCAATCTAGTTTTTCCATTGTTGCGGAATCATTGCCGTAATTTGACGTCTGGCGAGACCCGGGCAAACTTTCGCGAAAGCCCATTTCACAATTTCCCAGTGAACGAATTGTACTACGTACGCGCTGAAAGAGAGGAGAGTTTTTTTTTTTTTAGCCAACAACTCGATGTGATTTCATATGGTCGTGGTTGTCGAAAAAGGAAGAGGGGGAGGCAAAGAAGGAGGTCGCGAGATAGTAATAGGTGGAAGATCGGGACAATCGGACTTAAAGTCAGACACGATCGGCCCCGCCAACCAAGGAACTGACGTCGAAGAGCCTCGCGCGCCTACAAGCGGCGTCGACGTCGTCTGCTACGCGTACAGGCCGAGTATACCGGAGGGCCATCGTCGGCGAGTCGTGGCAACGCCACGCCATCTCCCTCGCGCCGGTCGTGCGCGGCCATCTCCACTGATCCGGGCGTCTCGCGCAGTTCGACTCCCGCGACCCGCGGCTTCGTACACGTAGGGGACTCGACGCTCCGAGGAAGCCGCTCGGCGTTCTAGCCAATCGATAATCGCAAGCCCGAGGGCGGACGAGGTAGTCGGGGTGGGCGTCGTGAAGGGCCTCGCGAGCCACCGTTCATCCATTCGAGGGAAGGCCACCTCGTGAGGTGGTGCGCCTTTAAAGGCCGAGGGTGGGAAGAGGGACTGGGAACGCGGCACGCCGGTGTCGAAAGCCTGGAGGAGTCGGAGGGAAGCTTCCGACGACGGGCCACCTATCGAGCGAATTGCGCACTCTCGTCGGTCGAAAATCATAAAATTCGAAGGAAGACCTTCCTCGAGTAAAAAGGGGGTCGCCGTCCGTCGACAAGAGTGCGCCAAGAGGCGAGAATAGGCCAGGACGGACAAGCCCAAGGAGACGGCGGTGGCGTCTGTGGCGGAGGGAACGGCGTAGGAGTTGGTGGAGGTGGTGGAGGTGGTGGTGGTGGTGGTGGTGGTGGCGGCGGCGGCGGTGGCGACGGCGGCGGCGGCGGTGGTGGAGGAGGAGGAGAAGCAGCTTGGGAAAAAAGCGCTCCGCGTGGATGGCCAACATGTGGTGGGATTGCTGAGTGATAAGGGGGACCGACTGGGAGGGCCGACGGTCACATCCGAGCGCACCGCACGCGAAGCCACTGCTCCCGGACACGAGCGCCGAGGCTTCCCTAACTCACACACCCCTCACCCCACCCAGCCCCATCTTCCTCCATATCTTCATCTTCACCTCATATTCGTCGTCTTACTCTTCTTCTTATTCTTCTTCATCTTCATCTTCGTCTTCGTCTTCGTCTTCGTCTTCGTCTTCATCTTCATCTTCGTCGTCGTCGTCCTCTTATTGTCTTCTTGTTCCCGAGCCGATCCCCGGGATGATCAAGGACTACAGGCCGGTGACGCAGGCCCTCCTGGGGACGCTGCTCACTTGGGGCTTGACGGCCGCTGGCGCTGCCGTCGTCGTCGTCGTTCGCGGCAAGCAGGTGAGGTCCGCGGACCCCGGAGCTTCATCGCTCCAGGCGATGTTTAAATGCACCCTCGCGTCCTAGTCGGCGGTGCGCGCATCCGGAGCGCTATTACCCCGAGCATTATTACCGGCCGATTACCACCAACTCATTTGAATTTGAAAGGACGATTGCGCTCGCGCGAACCTTTTCTAACGCAGCGCGGCCGAGATTGGCTGCGATTTCCTTTATTCTTTCGACGCTCGATGATGGCTTTATTGATGCGTGCCCGAGTGCTATTGTCGACGATTCGACGCTTTTCCTCGTCTTTTATGCATTATAAAAGGTAGCGTTGTTGCTTTCTTGCGAGCTTCGACGGTCAAGTACTAGTAGTGTTAATCATAAATACATGGACATGGATTTGCACATACGCAGCATCGATCGCGTATTTGTCGTTTAATGGGCATTTCCGTATAATTGATTATGTACGGTGAGAAAAGATGACGTTTCAAAATAGAATAAAGTATTTGAATTTGATGTTATTGTGAAAGTGTTGTGTTATTACAAAGCGTTGATAAATAAAATGAACAATTTTTAAAAATGTTTTCACGCAGATACATAATGTGCCCATCAGCCCTTTTTTTTTTTTTTTTTTTTTTTTTTTTTTTTTGACATTTTCCTGCAAGTCATGCGCTTTTTCCCATTCATTTCTACGAAATAATTTACATTTTAATAAATATGCCGTGAAATTTTTACAATTCCTTCATTATCATTTCAACTGCCTACGTTATAATCGTTTTTTCGTCTTTAAATACACAATTTATTTTTTATTTCTGATCTTTTACTTTTTACGTAACATTATTCTATTATATATCTACTAATTCTCATGATTCAACGACGATCAATTTCAGAATAAATGTAAAATTACGAATCATTGCATAGTAAGACAATTTAATCGTTCGATAAGCTTAAATTGCCATTTACAATTAATTGTAATCCACAAGTTATTCGAAATGTAACGATCTAATTCAAATATTAAAAGACTTAAAAGACATTACTTTTTATATTATGCCTGTAGGCGAATATATAAGAGCTTTCTTCGTCGTATCAATATATTTAAATGTCGGTAAATAAATCACGAGGGACTTGTGCTCTCAGTTTATGTTTATCTTACATTTAATGCCTAAACTCAATGGTGCTTGCTCTAAGACGTTATGTGAAAGCAAAAAATATTTAACGGCCGTTTTTCAATCTCGCATTAACACATAATGTTGCTTTATAACGATCATTTGAACGAATGGAAAGGCACTCGTCGTGTGTCCTTTAAAAATGTGCTTCAATAATTCAAGTCTATAAATAAAACTTTTTGACAAACATCTTACTAGAGCATTTAGAAGTATCTTTGTCGCTGTAAACAAGCGCTTACTTGCGTATCACTTCATCCTATCGGTTTTTTTTTTTATTTGAATTTTACCGCCATTCGATTGACCATGCGTAGTACTACAGTTCGCATAATAATACGCAAAATCCTAAAGTATCATCCATTAGGAGAAACATGGCAGGCCCATAGTTCGGACAGACTCAAATGTCATAAAATATAAATTATGAAAAGTTAATCTTTCTAGTTAATTTTTCTAAATATATCTGGTTCGATTCTTTTATATATTTTAAGCGTAAAGAATTCAGAAAAATTCTATTTTCTATATTGATATTTCTGTTTTCTGTCTATATAGTTATAATTCTGAAAATAAGTAAACGATAAGTTAAACGCTAAATGCTTTTGTGTCAAAATATTTTACGAAATTGAAAAAAAAAATAATCTAAGTATATGGCAACATTATGAATAAGCAAATTTAAAAGCAATAATTCATAAAATATATACTTTATAAATAACTTTTGCAAGTCCTTGGTCCTCTCAAAGAAACATATTTTTCATATGAATCTGTATTATACATGAGATTTAATTTTTTACATTTAATATACATAATGTAGATTAGAAACTATACTTAAAAATCAGAAATTATACTTGTAATTAAAGCACTACATATTTTTATTGATGAATCATAATAATTATTAAAACACACACGCACACGCGCGCGCGCGCACACACACAAAACATTAAAAATTACATTTGGCATTTTAAATTACTTCTCATTGTAACTATAGAAAATTGTGTATCACATAAATGTCACATAAATATCCTCAAAATTCAAATCAGATGGTAAGCCAAGAAATTAATCATACTGTACTAATGTAACAAATATTCTCATCCCATGAAATTGTAAAAATCACATCGTCAACAATTTGGAAACAAAACCCCACAATATTCAATATGAGTTCAATTATTTTAATTATTAATAAAATACTGAATTAATTCTATTATGACAATAAGTAAAAATATAATACAATTAAAAATTATCTCGATTACAAGTTCCTGGTAAATTAACGATATTAAAATATTAGAATAATTATTTACATTCGGGAATAAATACAAGATTTCTTTGATTTAAGTTTATTCAAGATTAATTTTTGGCATATATTAATATCACATTGGCATGCTTATCTGTAATTTGTCTTAATCTTATCTTTATCATTTTATCTGCATGAAGTGCTTAAAAGCAAATGTATTTTAAAATATAATAGGAAGGAATAATTAATCAAAATATAAATTCAGTTGCCTATAGAGCAAAAGATGCAGAAAATGGAAGTAAATTTATCCTTGGATTTGAGTGAAACTTTCAAGAACTGTTCTCATTATTAATATAAATGATTGAAAAAACTTATTTCAGTTCTTTTATCATCATAAAACGCAAAGACAAAGGACATTTGTAAAATAATATTTTATAACTTTTAATCGTAAGATAAAACTTACAATAAAAATAGTGTATTTTTAAATGATTTGTAACCTGGAATTTGTATAAGATTTTACAGTCAACTTTCAGACAACAATCAACTAAAAACTACAACGAATTAATTTAAATAATTTTTGCAGATAAGCATATCTCTAAAAATATTGAAATTGTCAATTAATTAAAAACTCCATCGTATGTTATCATTAATTATTAGAAATACAAAGATAGGCATTGTTAAAATGAAATTTTACATCTTTGAATTATCGACTAGCATTAAAATAATAATCTAATATCCGACTAATAATAATAATAATAATAATAATAATAATAATAATAATAATAATAATAATAATAATAATAATAATAATACGAGTATAATAATTGTTAGGGACATGATAGAATAATAAAACGTGCATAAAAATATCCTACACGTGTACATCTTATCTCATTTTTTATTTTAAAATACTAGTAAGTAGAGAAGCTTATCCTACATATTGTTGATAAACAGATTATTTATCAATTTGAATTCATGCTTTCATCAATCCCGTGAACATCTATTTTCAAATTTGAAATTTAACACAATCCAGCGATATATGACATGCACTGGGCATTATGTATATTTAAAAAAAAAAGTAATTAATCAGCCAAATGAAATTATTAAATTTAACGACTGACGTATAATATCCATAATAACTGCAATGCGTAAACAAAAATTTTTAAATATCAATGAAAATTTGTTGCTTCTTGTAATTATGATTCATCGCTATTAATCAGATTAGTTGGAACAATGAATAAAGAATTATTCAGGGTTAAACATTATAATTTAAAAGTAGACGATTTGCGGCTCGTATCATCATAATTGATGCAGGCAAAGTAATGTTAATTATCTGCATTTATCTAATTGGCAAATTATTATTATTTTGTTATATATATTTAACATTAATATTTATTTAATGCTTGAATACAGTGGTATTGGTTTTCAAACAGTTGTATCATGTAGCCAACAATCAAACTCAGTTTTTGTTATTCGAAAAGTCATTTATTTATGTTCTACATAAAATCGTTAGTGTACCGATAAAATGTCATATTATGCGTAATGTTGTTACATTACAGCATAATATTTATTTTATATGTTATATATATATATATATATATATATATATATATATAATAATAAATAAATAAATAAATAAACAAAAAGATAAATATTGTAAAATAAGAATGTATTACGGACACTATACTTTACGATTTTCCTATTTTTAATTATATTGTATATTTATAATTAACAAAAATAGAGAAAAAAAAATCAAATTAATTTCTTTTAATATCGACTTATACTTTATAATTATTAGTACACACATTAATAGTAACAAAAAAATTAATTTTCATCCGATACCTGAAATAATATAATAAAATTATGAAAATTAATGAATATAAATTTCTACGAAATAAACCGAAATTTGAAATAAGATGTACATACGTCCATAAACATTTTTGTATACTTTAGTACTAAACATTACCTAATACTGAGAAATATAATATATATTTTTTTTGTTCTTTTCTCCAATTAAATATAGATTCGTGGTTGTATACGATATAATGTTATAAATTGCCGAATACGATCATTCGTTATTGTTCGTAAGACTTTGATAAAATATATAAAAATTAACATATACACGGCTAGTTTTGCATTAGAAAATCCAAAATACTAAATTTATTCTTGTTTATACTTGTTTACTTTCGTTTCAATGACAATTTAATATCAAGTAATGTCCTTTAAAACATCCTATCGCAATGCTTATACTTAATAAAATCATTATGCGCATTGTGTATGATTCCAACTGGATGAAAAGTAATAAAAACATTACTAAATTCTTTGCATTCGTATTACCAGTTGGCGATTATCGAAATTAATACGTAGCTTTGATGTTTAATGTGGTAGATGTGGGAAACAGGAGACAGAACGAGAATAAAAATAAAATGTAAACAAAACATGATCGTGATACAATATAAATAATCGCGATCGAGGGGTTGAGCTGCTTAAACGGAAATTCTGTACATACGCGCCAATAATTCCTCGCGAAAAGCACTCTATTAGCGTATAGGCGAGCTAAAATAATAGATTAGCTAAGCTCTTAGACTGGGAAATAAAAGATATGTATTAAGTTACTTATGGTATATGCCGTGTAAAAAGAAGGCAGCCGCCATCAATTTACAGCGCATTCCATTAAAAAAAAAAAAAAAAAAAGAAAAAAAAATAAACCAGTCGGTCCGTTCGCTCACTCGTGCAGCGTGAAATTTGCGTTTAAGCGGCACATCGTGCCGACGAGCGATAACATTGTGTACAGAAGCCCTCTAATTACAGTGGCGCGCACGTGGACGAATGAATGCGAGCGCGCCCGCACGCACAGGTGGCGGCGCTTTTCCCATAATGTCCCTTAAAGGAAAAAGCAAAGAAAAAGAGAGAAAGAAAGAAGGAAGGAATTAAGGCCATGGAATGAGAGAAGGCGATGGAAGGTCGGACTGGGCGCAGTCGCGGCCCTCCATATCGACGCCGGCAATGGTATTTCCTCACGTGTAAAGTACCGCGTGTGTTGCAGAGGAAATTGCTGGACGTGAGCCTGGGCTTCGCCGCGGGCGTGATGATAGCGGCGAGCTACTGGTCCCTCCTCGCCCCGGCGATCGAGATGGCAACCGAGAGCAAGATTTACGGTGTCGACGGCGAGTACGCGTTCGTGCCCGTGGGAATCGGCTTCCTCGTGGGCGCGGCCTTCGTTTACGGCACGGACGCCCTCATATCGAGCCTCG